TCTACTATAAGCACAATCCATATCGGTTTCTCTTGCCCGCAAGCATCGAAAAAAATGCGTGGAATTCTGCCCTTGAAGATCGCTCCAAAGAGTTTGTAAGTCCTGGTTGACCCACAAGCTCAGGAATCAGTACCTGTGAAACTTCCTCAACCTCCTTCTTCTGTTGGTCTTTCTCTTTACATTTATATGTTACTTTTTCTTTACATTTATATGTTGGACAAGTCTCAGGGACCGATACCTGTAAAACTTCCTCAGTGAATTCCTCCTTGTGTTGATCTTCACAATTATAAGTTGTACAAGTTATCCTCTGCCCGTTCCTCTCTTGTTGGTGCCCCTCAAGCTGAAATTTCCCAATTTCCATTTCAGGCAGCAATTCCACCCTTGAAGATTGCTCCAGAGACTTTGTAGGTCTAACTTCTCCCAGAGATTCAGAGACCTTCTTCTGTTGCTGCTTTTCTTTGCAATTGTATGCTGCACAAGTTGTCTTCTGTTCCTCAACCTGGACTTGTTGGGGCCTCTCAAACAAGGGTTCCCCAATTTTCATAAATATAGGCTCTTCAAGCTGTAATTCTACATTCTTTTCTTCCAAAGCTTTAAACTTAATAGATGGCGATACACATACCCCCAGGACCGAGGTATAAAAATCTTTTGCTTGAGAAACAGTATTAAGTCTATAACATGTCCCCAGGTGGTTCACCACCATTCCAGTCGGGACATCCCATCTGAATAGTATTTTTCTCTTTTTAAGTTCATTTGCTAGAAAAGCAAACTCCTTTCTTCTTCTTAAAATTTTAGATGGGATCTCCTTAAAAATTATAACATCTTGTGAAGCAATTTGAAATCTCTTCTTATAATAGGCTTGCACAATTTCATTGCGTAGAGATTTTTTACCAAAGTAAATTACCACATCTCTTGGCAGATTCTTCTGTGCTGCCACCACAGAATTAACCCTGAATAATTTTTCAATTTCACTAAGTATTCCCTCTTTTTCTTTATTCAAAATCAATGCAAAGTCCTTTGCAACCATCTCTTTCAAATTTCCTTGCAAAGACTCTTCCAGGCCCCTGATTCTTAAGGCATATTCCATTTGTCCATATTGAAGCATAAGAATTTCATTTTCCATCTCTTTTTCCATACTTTCAATTTTCCCCTCCATTATCTCCACTTTTTCATCTACCTCTTCCACATGGGAGTTCATCTTTTCAAGAACAGAAGCAACTCCTTTTAAAGCCAAAACAAAGTCTTGTCTCAAGATCTTATTGTTTTCCTCTAAAATCTTTTTCATTTCTGCCCTAATTTGAATTATGACATCTCCCATCATGTCTTGCAAATCCTTCATAGTTGTTAGCTGACCCCCAGAAGAGGGTGAGACTGTTAATTTAGAAGCTGTAGAAATCCCTGGACGCTTTGGAGCCATCTTAAAAAAAAAACCCTTTAGTCCTTCTTAAAAAATTATAAAAATTCCTTCAAAAATCATAACTCCCTCCAAAGAAGGTCATTATAATAAAAAGAAAAAAGGGGGGAAAAAAAAGAAGAGAAAAGGAATTAAAAAAGCTTTACTCCTCCTTAAAAATTGCAAAAATTAAGCAAAAAAAAGGAGTTAACTCCATGAATTCAAAAAGAAAGAGGGGGGGAAATCCTTCAAAAAGGGGTCATTGCAATAAAAGGAAAGGAGTTCAGAAAAAAAGAAAAGAGAGAAAGAAAAAAAAAGGGGGAGAAGAAAAAAATAATTAAATAGAAAAGGTCCGTTCCATTTTTTTTTAAAAAAAAATACTTAGAGATACCAAAAACAAACACAAAGATTAAACAAAAATAATAATTCTAACAGTCCATTCCAATCATAAAAAAATAAAAAAGGAAAAGGGAAAGGAAAAAAAAAAAAAAAAGCACCAAAAAGCCTGCCGGTCAGCATTCTAACTTCCAAAAAAAAAAAAAAAAACACCGAGAGATTTGCCGATCGCCATTTTACTTTCCCTTTCAGCAAAGAAGGAGAAATAAAAAGAGAGAGTAAAAATAGAAACAAGTCTTAAAAACTTAAAATCCAAATAAGTCAAAGAAAGCAAAAACTAAACCCTCTACTCAGCTCTGTCCGTTTAAAAAAAAAACTCACCAGTTCTCTTTAAGCACGGAGGTGTTTGCAGCGGCTCGTTTTGTCCCTGAGGACAAAAACAGCTGGGAAGCGGAGACAAGTCTGAACTCCGTGGGAGCACTCCTTTCACCCCCCAAAAAAAGGACTTGGGGGGTGCAAAAGAGGCTCTACCACTATTCAGACACTCTCTGCCCCCCCCCTTTGCCCGGGAGGGGGATTTTGAACCGCTGAACAGCTGATGTCTGCTGTTCATAGCAGTTCTTACACTTACCCAGGAGGACGGCTACAAAGTAGCCGCCATCGCGCGCGCAAAATCCACCGGAAGTCCAAAGAATTCTTATCTTAAGGTGCTTCATTCCTAATCAAAAGAAGAGTAACTTCCAGTGATCTGAAGAGGGTCCATAGTTCTTCATTTTATTTGTTCAGAGGTTCTGTTGAATATATATAATCTATACTAGCTAGTGCACAGAGACTTTGGCGGAGTGAGAGTTCTTCTTTTTGGGCTAGGAAGTAAGTCACTTAGCTTGGAAAACACTTGAACCCATAAAGTGGCATTATTGTGGGGGCTCTTCAGTCAAGTGATATGAGAGGCTACCCTCAAATAGTGTTTTCTTGCTCTAGAATAAATGCACAATAATTTATTCTTTGGCAGTTTTCAGTTTTACAGAATGCTTTGCAATTGTTCTTATTCATGAGTATAAGCCCCCTAGAATTGCCTTGGTGAGATGGGCAACATAGAAGACTAATAATAAAATTCATAAGCATTTTCTGACTGAAGTAATCAATTGAATAGTGTTTACTTAGGATTGGGAAATTCCAGATTGCCAGTTGGCATTTCAGCTGAAGATCTTATTTATGTTAGCCTAATTTACCTCGTAGGATTGCTATGACAGTAAAATGGGAACAATAGTATGCAGGATATAAATGAAATAAAAGAAATAATGAGATTTCACCTTTGGGATTTGCAGATTGCCCTCTTCAGAGCTTCTAACATTGTTGACATGTTGGCAAGTGTTACCTATTAATTGTCTAATAGAAAATTGTATTGATTTTAATTCAATTATTTCTATTCTAATCTATTAGTTTTCCTTAGTGTAGTTGTAAATAGACATTCTTAATGGAGTTAGCACTTGGCTTCCTGTTTTATTGACATAAGAAATCATTGTTCAGGGCTGTCTCGTTGCCTGCTTTATGTATGCTGCCTCTATTGTTTTCAAAGTTTTCCAGTTGCCAATTTTTCTGAGCAGTTTCTATTATGCCAAATGAACCCATTTGTTTTAATATAATGAATGTAATAAATGCTTATTTTCCAAGCAAGCAAACAATTTGCTTGGGTTCTTAGGTTTACTGGCTCAGTAGAAGATAATACTGACCGAAAGTGACTTTTATAGTAATATTCTTTGTGATTCCTTTCAACTTTTATATAGAAAGGCAGAAAACATTTGAAAATAGAACACTGGAATGTATAGAATCCCAAGTGAACTGTGATACGATTCTAAGTTATAGATTGAGTAACACTGTGTTATTGCAGTTACTGTATATTTCATAGTTGAATTTGTCTCGTCTACTTTTTTTTCTTTAGATAATTTGTATTTTAATTGTAGCACAGAAAGTGACATATTTACTTGACTTTTTATTACTTCCTAAACATTAACAGTACAATCCTAGGTGGGTCTATTGAGAATTGTTAGTGAAAACTGTACAAAATAAGACATTATTTTCAACATTTTAATAGAATAATTCTGAGAGAATGCTGAATTAGTTTACACTTAGAAAATATTAATGAGCATCCATTGGGGATACATATTGACATACTGTAATTTTCTTGCAATAAATATGATGCAAATATGTAATTCTATAATTTTAATGCCATGGTAGTAGTTTGGGTACTAGTGAATTTTAATGTCCTGCAAGATACATACACTTGGTTGGCATGCTATGGTAGCTTCAGTTTAGTGTAGTGTTTTCCCAAGAATTTCCTTATGGCTACCTAGATATACAAACTGTACTTCAGTCTTGGAAATAGCTTAGAAGCAATAAGGGTTTTTCCAATAGTGTGACTCCCATGGGGGTGGGTGGGAGGGCTGAAAGACTAAGAAGATTGTAGGAAGAAACTGACTGAAGAGAAACAAGAAAAATTGCTAGCAAACAAGATGGATTTAAGCTGTCTTGGATTGCTGAAGAGAAGCTTGTTCCAGGAGGATTCAGGACCATCTTGAATCAGTATAGTAATTGCTATTCAAAGCGGGTGTTGCAGTGTGGAATTTGGTTATTCTGTATAGATAAATATTCAGGAGAAGAAGTGGAATAAAAGGCACAAGAAATAGGATCCAGGTTTTTCTAACGGTAAGATTGTGAGGTAATAAGCCTCTGATAAATTCTCTGGGGAATTTAATTTCCTTAGTTTAAGGAAGGCTCACAATAATATTTTAGTAGAACCAGTATTATTACTAGCAGAGAAATTATTAACTTCCAATTGAAGAGCAATCGGGTCATAAAATAAGTATTATCCAAAGTCCTTTGAAGGCAGATGCCAGGAAGGAAGGGGAAAAAAACTACTGTATTTTCATTCTTGTTATGCTAAAAATGTAAAAAAAAAATCAGAAAGGTTCACTAGAAAAGTACTTTCTTGTGCTATAATTTGTATGATCGATCCTGATATTCCTGTATGAAATGGTTGTATGCTTGATATGAATCCTTCCAATTACATATGCATTTAGAACTGCCAGAGAAAATTCCAGGAGCAGTTAAAAACAATTATCAACTCAAAATATGTTATTTGAAATATGTTGTTTTTGTTAATAGTTATATCTGGGAATGGAATTTTCACTCAGATCACCAGCATCCATTGCAGTAATTAACACTGTTCCTTTTTTTTTTTTTTAAAAAAAAAAAAAGACAATTCAAGTAATATAATTGATGTTTTAGTTTATTTTTAACTTGGGCTTACAGAGATGTGCGGCCACAAAAAACTGAGGAAAATGATTATTTAAAAAATAAAACAATTTAAAACAATCCATATGTCAGTCAGTTTTTTCAAGTTTTTCAGACTAATCATCTTGGCTAAGTTAGCACAATATTCTGAATCATAAACCAGCCAAACGCTTTTTAGTCTACTATGCTGTATGAACCAAGGCTAGTACATTGCAAGTTGTACTAGTTTAAGGGTTAATTTACATTTTTCCGTATGTTAAATTTCATTTGCTTATCATGTTCTGTAAGGTAATTCATCTGGAATAAATACTAGACACCATAAAGTCCTTATTTCACCTATCAACATGCATTAAAAAGTAAATATGTTTTCATTCCTTATCTATCCTGTGAGTACAATTTAAGCTACAAAGCTTTGTTAAACAAAATGAAAATGAACAATCATTTGGGGAAACTGACAAGTGATTCATAGAATTGTGAGATATTGAAAAATCAAGACTATCTGCTTGGTGTCAGTTATTGGACCTCCAGTGAATGTTCCATTTCATGAGGCAACATATTACATTAATTACCAAAGTAAATAGGAATTTCCTGTCCAATACCTAATCTGAATTTACTTTCCTTTAATTTCAACTCACTGGTTCTAGTTCCGCCCTCTGGGACAAATCCACTCCCTCTATACCTCTTCTCTCCTCAATTTTTTCTGCAGACTAAGTATACCGATTTCCTTTAATAGTTCCTCGCAGGACTTGGTTACTACTAAAAAATTTAGAATGTAGGAAGAAAGCCAATGAAAGATTCAGATAGCTTCCTGGAATGTTGAGAATTTCAGCTACAGTCCCTCTAATCCACTATCTTGCCCATATTAGCTGGGACTGATGGTTGTTGTAATTCCAACCATTTGGTTACTAGTTTAGGGAAGACTGGGTTAAGCTGCTTCTGTGATCACCTTCAAAACTTTTATCTTGGCTGAGGCTGAGACACTTGCCTTTGAGCATCCCAGCCAAAAAATTCTATAAGGGAGGTATATTTATTTAAAAATGTATAAAGCACTTCGCACAAAAGTCAGCACAGAAAACATATGCAATACAATATTAAAGGAACAAACATTAATAAAATTGAGAGGCACATTTAACCAATTACAAAAATGATTTCAAGTTAAGGTGGCTGGAGAAATAAAGCATGTTATGAATACCAGGTAATCTCACCTGTATATTCACAGTGCTCTGCAGAAAAGGATGCCATCACAAAATAGGCCATCTCTGTTGTGGATGCATGATGTATCTTTTTAGGTTTGAAAGAAAAAGTTCTCATCTGAAGATAATGCACAAGTAGATAAACACAGGATAATCATTCTGTCATGTTTGAAACTGATCTTGTTAGCAAACTGACAGCTGGTATAATTGGTTTTAATGACTACCTAGCCATTTCAGATGACAATCGAACTGCCAAATTATGCACCAGTGTTAACATGTAACACTCTGGTAAAGAGAGGTAGATAAATACTTAATTGTGGGCTACAGCCATCTGAGATGAGATTTTTGATCATGCAGGGCAGGATTCCATTCATCCCTTCTGGTTTTTTTTGTACATTTCCCAAATCTGCTTCAGATACTCTCTGATTTCCAAAGTGTGTCTGTCATCTCTTTCTTTGTATAGCTATTCATCTCACACAATTACTCTGGGTGGCATATTCATAATCAATAATATATAAAACCATTAAAACCACCAATTTAAAAATTAGAATAAAAATAGATAAAAATATTTTTTGTGACTATGTGGGAAGATATAGGAACAGAAGGAGAATCCATTTCATTACTAATGTCCATTCCATTGTGAAAGGACAGAACCAGATACTTTGTATAGCCACAATAGCAGCAATCATTACATTGAAAAAGTCATAATTGTTGCCTCTTTTTACAGAAGCAGAAACTTATTTGCTCTATGTCCTCAGCAGCCCCCTTTTTAGAAGAGTTACCAGCTTTATTTTTAAATAAATATTGGCTTGTTATGCACTTGCCTTGCCTAGACTGTTTCAGTTCTCATATATGTTTAGAAAAGAATAGCAATTAAATAAATTGCTATTTTCAGAGAAAGGAAACAGGAACTGGAAGATAGCAGTTACCTAAACAAGTAGCCTGTTAAAGGAAAAAAAGGTCCAAGCTTCGCTCTTTATCTTTAATCTTCAAAAATAATTTATAAGGTACTTTGGATTTAGCTCAGACATGAAATACTTCTTCCTCACAAGTTTTCCCAGTTCCCTTTCGTTTATGGCAAGCCATACTTATGGACAACTGTGCCGAGTGCCATGGAGACATTACATGCCCCCTCTTTCAGCAAATTTTGGGCAACACTGCTTTTTCTATCTTTTGCCATCAGAATGTCAAGAGAGGCAATCTATAACCTTCACCTGGAACAACTTCATTTGGCTTTTCTGCTACATCTCATGATGCTTTAAGATGCTGCTCCCCATGCCCAATTTGGAGGAACTGCTCAAAACTATTTTTCTGCCATTATCTGCTCATATCAAAATTAAATGGGAATTAAAATAACCAATAGGGAAATCTAAGAATGTTCTGTCTTATATGGTACAGGCTCGAAAACGTAGATCAGGAAGATAATATGGTAGACACTGGAAGATGATTGGAGGGCAGATTGGAAGACAGGTGATGTAATGTCAATTCCGTTTCTTGTTATGTGATGTGGCTTCTACCTCCAGGTACTGTAGCCCAATCAGCATCCCCAGGATGGAGAAACCTGAAAGATGGAAATTGAGCAAGAACAGAGAATAAAAATATTAAAAAATCTCATATCCTAAAAAATGGCTTGTTGCATTTGGCTGTAGAAAACTCTAGGTTAAGTTTCCAGTATGGTTCTAAACAAATAATTATTGTTCCACCTAAATAGTCTCACAAAAGTGAAAATCCTGCTAAAAAATTAATGGAGGAAATAAACACAATTCACAGAAAATGATAAGCAGCTCAGTAAGTACTTACTTGCCACCATTAAGGGTGCCAGGACACCAATCGTTGCAGCTGCTGTGCCATAAATAAACAACTCAGAGAGGAAGTGGCCCAGGGCAATGAAGAAAGTCAAAAGCGTGATGTTATAGAGGCTGTCAGAGAGTTCACAAAGAAAGGATTATTGTGTGGTATAAAGATGACACAAAGAGATCAGAGTCAGGAAGTTGAGAATCTGAAAGCAAATGAGTATGCTGTACCTTTGCATCTTTAGTCAGGCAACGGTGTCTGCATCTCTTGGAAACTAGGGAGAGTATTGTACCCTCTGTTGCTCAAAAGTTACTTCTAGCAAGTTGAATCAGTGTTCCTACCATTCATAAACACCATAGAAACCAGTTTCTAGACAGATTAATGGGTTCAACATAGCCTGAACTGAAGAGTACTAAAAACTTCTAATTGTTTAGAAGTGCCTGGATCAAAGCAGAATAGATTTTAAAACCTGACATTTGGGCAGATAAAATTGCAGAGCGATGCTGTATTACATCTTGTTTCTCTTGACTTCTAGAAACAAGGTCTGTGCCTTAATACAGAACTTATTGTTTTCCTATTGTACCCAACGAAACAATAAAGAAACATACAACACTCTATATATGTACATTCTTTTAGAAAACACTACAAATGATGAAAAATATGAAAATGTAAATCATATGTGGTATAGAACTGTCAGTAGAAGAGTAATACTAGCAGAAGAAGGAGATTACTCCTTATTAGATACCAGAACTTTGACTTTTTGATTTCAGAGGTCTAACTAGACACAAATTAGGAACTAATATTATTCCTACATAACTGCTCTACTAAGCATTTCCTTCTTTATGTCTGGTACAAGCCTTTTGAGACAACAATATTCCACAAATGTATAAACAAGTTGAAAAAGATTTCTGGATGACCAACTGCATTACGACTGTAAGGGAAAAGAGTATTTAAAGAGGATTGGTAGTGAATTGTTCCTTTTACTACTTTTAGTATCCATTTTACTTACGTCTTGTTGCGGATATCAATGGCACAGTAGCAGCGAATCACAGAAGACAACAAGGTCCAAATGCCAAAGGTTCGAGCTTGGAGACCATTTACTGAATAGAAAAAATATAAATTATAAGATATAAATTACACCACAATTTATTTATGTATATGTTTCCAAACAGAACTTAGTAGTATACCCAGCAGCCTACAATACATTATATAATGGGCTTGAAAATTATTCTAAGGATCAAGTGTTTTCAGTCCTGAAAAGGCATTCAGTAGAGGAAATGCCTGATATGGAAAATGAATTACACTGTAACTGAAGCATTTGTTATAGCCTGACTGTTCTAAGGAAAGAATGGGCACTAAACAAAATAAACCTCTGGATAAAAGGAGAATAAACAATATTTAAGGCAAAAAGACATTTCAAAATTGACATTTTAAGATTTGAATAAACATTTCTTTGCAATACAGGCAAAACACAGATCCCATTTTTAGATTCACAAAATGACACTTTATAAATCTTACCAAGGCCTGGCTTGCCTGTATACAATTTTTCAGAAAGGAAACTGTGGTCTCTGAAGCTTTGCACTGTGTTCCCCATGGCAATTATGGAAACCATAACTAGCCAACTACGAAGTACGTTCAAGAACCGGCTCATCTTAGAAGTGGCAAGACGCAATCTGTCATGTGAAGAAATAAAGAATCAAGAGTTTGAGACAGGTCTCCTATTTTAGACTTTGCAGCATTTCCTCTTGTTTATATAGTTTTGTGGAACAACTAGGTCAGGCCATTTTGCTGCAAATGATAAGAAGGGACTTCTCATGTTCCAGGTATAAAACTAAAATGGAAAACTATTTTAAAAATGGCAGTAGTGTTTTTCAATGTGCTTGAAGCCCAAAGAAAGGAAAGAGGAAAATCTGTTGCAAATGGAGCATCTTTTTAAGCAAAGCAAATTTAGAAAAATACGAAGACAATTTCCCAGTTAATACATAAAGCAGGCTTCCTTCCTTCTAATCTTTCCAGATATAATGGAACTAAAGCTTCAGAATTTCCAAGTAGGTTAGTATTTCTCAGTGCTTTTTTTCTATAAAAAAAAAAAAAAAAAAAAGGTGCCGGAACTCACACACGTCATACAACCCGCTTTGCCTACCCTACAAGGTTCCATCCAAAAAAGGTGCCGGAACTCTGTTCTGGGCGTTCTATGAGAAAAAAAGCCCTGGTATTTCTAGAAGTTACAGTTTTATTGGATCTAAAAGACACCAGGTGGTAAAAACTAGTCAATTAAATAGAACCAATCATCTTGCATTAAATTAACCCCCATAAACTTTATATAGAAAAGGCAGCTAGTTGCTAAAAACAAACAAACAAAAGAGCAATTCTTCCATGAACACATTTAACAACTGTACTGTTTAAATAACTCACAAGGAGAGGTATCTTCATTCACTGTTCCTGTTCTACTTTCCCTTATATAAAAACTTTCTTTTAGGATTTTATTCTATATATGAATCAACCCAGGTACAGTATATATAACCACTAGCAAAGCTGAAGGTGTGCATTTTGCTCTCATCCATCCGACTAGACTAGAGAAATGAGCCCAGAAGACACCTGCCTGTCCCTTGGAACAGAGACCAACCTCACTGCATCTATAAGTCAGAAGAAAAACAACCCGAAGAGGCTTTCTTTGCCTTCTTCTCCCGACAAATGCTCTGAGCAGGGAGAGGGACGGAGCAGCACATTCTGCTCTGATCATCATTCTGCTCCTTACCACGTTTTAACCTTGAATAAGTTATTTCTTCTCTTCCTTTGTAATTTTCGATGGCATGTTAAATGGTGGGTCTGTTTCCCGTTTTATTACGAAGGATTGCAAAATGGAACGAAGTGGTGATATCTACATAAAATTTTAGGAATTTTCTCCGAATGTCTCCTCGCTCCCTTCGATTCTTACACTGCAAGTCATCTTGCCCTGCACCTAATTCCTACCATGCACGTCGCACCCTTTGGTTCTCCCCATGCAATCCCCCCATCAGCGCCATTCAGGTCTTACTTCACCCCACCTGATTTGCGGGCGTACCAGATTTGCTGCTCACCTCCAACTCATGGAGTACGAGCCCCGCCCCTTCTGAGTTCGCGAAATGATTGGTCCACTGTCAGACGTCGGCTTTTCCTGGTTGGTCTGTCTGTCCCTCTCTAAACCGTCACATGGATGGGAAGGCGGCTGTACCTATCAAATGCGCAGAATCCTTCTGAGGCATTATGACGTAGAATTCGAAGATGTGGGTGGAAGAACCTAGAGCATCATTTTAGCTTCTCTTTTTAAAAAAGAGAATTTTGATGACGCCGTTTTAGAAGAGGCAAAAGAAAGAGGACCGGAAACGTGCGCATGCGTATGGAGAAGGCCACCGGCGGGAGCCGAGAATTGGCGCTTGCGCAAATGCGCCTCCTGTAAAAGGGGAGACGGTTGTCTGTTGGTTGTTGTAGTAACAGGAGAAGCGCTGAGAAGAGGAAACGTGACTGCCGGGCCCCAAAGAGGATGAAGCAGCAGGTATGGCCGTGAGCGGGGTTTAGGAACAGTGGCTGGGTGCATGCATAGAACTTGCTTGGACAAGAAGTTGAGCCTCGCAGATGGAAGGTAGCTTTTCATTCATGGTAGAGATGACCGGCATCCACGGGATGGAAAGAGCTTTCCAGATGCCCCCTGTGGGGCTGAAAGTTCCGGAGCTTTCCGGCACAATTTCTGATCCCTTCCTCCCTAAGACCAGGAGTGCGATTCCCATGAAACGGACAAGCAAGACCTCCGGCAAAGATTGCCGCCTCTTCCCGCTGAGAGGCAGTGCCATCTTCTTTACCGCGGGCCCGGGTTCTCCGTGTCCTCTTACTTTCGTTTCTTTGCCAAAATTCTGCAAAGAAAAGTTTTGATTGCGAACCGACTTTACACACTGGTGCTTCCTGAACGAGAGTAGTATTGCAGGTAGCTGTTGAATCCTCAGAAAAAAGTATCCCCAGGAGTCACAGAAAGGGAAGACTGTTTAAGACAAGGTAGTTGAATATCATTGAACCATGTTTTTGATTACTGGGAGTTTTGAGGTATGAGGACCTGTTTCTTGCACAGAAGATTGACAGAGCCCAGCAAAGGTTTTTAAGATTCCTTAGCAATAGCTGTTTCTGATACTGTATGCTTTAGACTCCTTATGTTTACATAATCTAATTTCATGCAGTGGGTCATGTGTTTACTTTTGATCTATGGGTATATTTTGTTATATTGCCGCTGGATTGTATATATGAATCAGATTTGTTAAGAGGAGGCAAGCTTAAGGATGGTGATTCAGTGCCAAATACAAAATGAGAATGTTATATTTTTGTGCAGCAAGAAAGTGGATGGGAAGAGAAGGTGGAATCTTTTCCCCATATTTTTTTCTGCTGCTGCTTCCATTTTGATTTCCTTTCAGCTACTTTGCTCCTAACAAGGTTCTCAGAAGAATGGTTGAGGGAAGGAAGTTCAATTACTCTTCACTCCTTCCTTACCTCATTCCTGATCTAATTATTAAAATAATTTAATTGGACATGTTAGAGTCCTGTCAACCAAGAAATATCATATGGCGGGGATTAGGAGACATGCCGTAACCCTTTCCCTCTGAAACATTCCCCTTTCAGAGATTAGGATCACCCTAACCTTGTTGGCCTTTTGTAAGGCTTTGTAGACCTGGCTATATGCCCTGACTGAGATCTGAGTGTCTTAAGGGTCCCCTTTCTTGACTGAATTAACAACTATGGCAATAGTTTTACTCATTGGTTATATACAATAGTTTTAATTTTTTATGATGTTTGCCACTCAGAGTTACTTGTTGAAATAGAATTCAAATAAATGAGTATATTTTTTATTTTATTTATATCCTGCCTGTACTATTTTTACAAATAACTTAAGGTAGTGAACATATCCAAAATACCTTCCTCCTATTTTCCCCACAACAAGAAACCTATGAGGTGGGTTGGGTTGAGAGAAAGTGAGTGGTCCAAAGTCATCCAGCTAATATAGTGACAGCACCCTGGTTGAATTAAAAATTAAAATGTCTGGAAACTGTATGTGTACTTTCTACTAAGAAGCTTGATTATTGCATATCTTCATTTTACTCTGATAATTGATTTTTAATTTTCTTCATAGAATATAGCACTGGTTAGATTTTCTGATTCTACAGTGAAAATATTAAGGGTTCATTGTTTCTGGGCTGTGTGAAAACATACACAGGATATGCCAGTTGGAATGGCTCGGGATTTGGAAGAAACAGATTCATCTTCAGAGGAAGAGGAAGAAATGGAAGGGCCAGAGTAAGTTAAAACTTATAATTGTATATTGTGTAAATTACTATGGAAATTTAAGTCTAACATTCTTAAAAAATGAACAATGAAAGCTTGAAGGGCTAGTTTTTATTAGAAATATGGAATGTCAATGAGTTATGAGTGTGCATGTTCAGTGTGTAGCTTCAGGGCTGCTATTACACTTATTCTTATTCTGCTGTGGGCATTCAGCCAGAATTAGTGAGAATTAACTTCATCCTTAGGATGAGGGTTCATACATAAGGCATGTTCCTAGTTACCCTAGGTAACCAGATGCCTTTAATGATCTTAAAGTAAACACTGAGGTCTGCCGGTAGTTTTAAGTATGTTCAATTAAACACACGTGCAGGTTCCAAATCTCTGGAAAATTGATAAATGCACGCTTATCCTTAGCACCAACCTGAAGACTAACAGAGGAGCTAGACACATTAAGGTTTTAGGGGAAAGATTTAAAGGCACAATATTGTTCTCACTATACTTTTATCGCTTGTGTGTGCAGGCTACTTTTCCTTGTAATTCTGGAAGTAGATGGAACTATTGTGTAAATGTATGAAGCTGTCTTTGATTATGGTACCAGTACATTCTAGGTCAGAACTTAGATTCTTCATGATCTCAAGCAGAGATCTTTCATATTTATTTGAGCCTTTAGCTGGGAATTTGTCTTGTGCCTTTTATATGCAAACATGCATTGTATTCTTTGAATTGTGATCCCTGGTGAAAAGTTGTCCTTTCCTATCATTGAGAGTTATTTCTTAGCTTACTTTAATATTAAGTCTTTATTTACATGAGTCTGCTTCTTGTTCCCCTAGAAAGCTATGTTTATAAGCATAGATTTATAAGCAATATAGCTTGATTTACCAAACTTTTTTTTGTTTTTCATCATTTCTCTCCTACCCATTAATTTCTCTTGCCGTAGAAAACTGGCATTTATACTGTAGTTTGACCAAAGTAGAAAACGGTATATAAACTTTTACAATTTTATGTTCAAACTGGAAAACAAATGAGATAATACAGATGATAGAAGAGAACTGGAAAGGGATCTTTAGGCATTGGGTCTAATCCAGAGTTCCCCAACGTTTCTGGCTTTGCGTACCGGCACAGGGGAAGGGAGAGAGTATAGTTCCGTGCGAGCAGTGGGCAAGTGTGCATGTGTGCACAGCTCCATTTGCACAAGTGTCAGACACGTGCATGTGCGCCACTCATGCAACGAGCATGCATGCATACACTCACCCACTGCTCGTGCAAGGGGGGGCAGTTGCGTGCGCTTGCCCACCACTTCAGTTAGTCTGGTTTTGATCAGCTGGGTTGGGACCCCTGCACTAGACCACCTTTCATATATGGTAATCAGATTTGGACATTATATCTTAAGCATCAGATTAAGTTGAGAGAAATGTCACTAAGATTATTTACTAGAAAGTAAAGAGAAAAAAAAAGGTTAACCATGAGAAGACAAGACTGTGAAAGTGTATATTTTAAATACCTTAATTATGTCATTCAGAAGATCAAGAGCTTTGAACTTCGTAGTTCAAAGACAGAAGCAATTATTCAAAAAACTAGGAATCTCCCTTCACTGAAAGTGTTCAAGCAAGGATAAAACTGCCATCTGTCAGGGATGCTTTAATTTAGATTCATGTATTGATTAAGCCAGGGGTCCCCAGCCCCTGATCCGTGGACCAGCACCAGTCTGCGGCATGCCAGCAACCAGTCCGTGCAAACAAGTGAAGCCCCATCTGTGGGATGTAGGCAGCACGCAAAACTACACCCCCTCCAGTCCCCAGAGAAACCTTTCTCTGCGGAACTGGTCCCTAGTGCCCAAAAGGTCGGGGGCTTCTGGCCTAGTGGGAACATACTATCTTATTGGAAAAACTGAACTGAAATGGGAGTAAAATAATTATGTCTTTTCTTGAGTACCTTTTAATATTTTTCTCGTTACTGGAAATAGCTGTGTCTTGGTTTTTTTCCTTCTAATTATTTTGAATGTATATATCTGAAGGGTCCTTCTATTTGTTTTTGATGTCAGTCTCCTATTACAACCTCATTTTTTTTTAGTTTTCTGATAACCATTTCTGTAGCTGAGAAGTATATGCATTCTGCCTTGATAACCTGATCTTTTTATTGCATAGGTGTGATTCTTTCAAATCGTTGCTAAGCTTTATGTACAGTTCTCTTCTTTTGCTGTCTTCCTATTATTTTCTTCAATGAAATTGTTAACAATCTTTCACCTGAATTTCCGAGGAAGCTCACTTGAACTAATAAGCATAGGTCAATGAATATCATTGCTTATTCAGAAACTTTGTATTTTAGAGTCACTTTGGACAGTTAGAGGGTGGCATAAATTTATATAATAGTACAATAAATAAATACTTGTGGATAAGATGCAAGTATGACACTCATATCTGGTATTATCCAAACCCAGAAAAGAGTAAATGACAACATATTTTAATCTGTTTATTTTCAGATAGTGTATTTAGGTTTAACGGTTTAAAGCCTACTATTTGTAGAATTTTTCTCTTCCATGTTAGCAGATAGGTAAGCAGTTGCTTTTTGAAAAAGCATCTTTGGGTACTTACTTACTCACTTATTCCCTATCTAATATTTGCCTGAATTTTCACTATATTATGTTCTATTTTATGACAATCAGTTGATATGGGTTCTCTGTAGTCTCTAAAATTATAATTGCCTTTCTCTATATAACATTACAGTTTGATTTGGTTCCAGCTTTTGGGAGGAGTTCTCTGAAAGCTTCACCCAAGCATTTTAGGAGCTGCAATGCATCTGTGTCATAAGTAATAATAAACTAAGCTGTTCAGTATTGCTTACAGGATTACCTATAAGCATATGTGTTGACTTACATATAAAATACTATTCCTTCTATAAGATCTAGAACGGGCATGTCTGTTGCCTTTATACTGAATTCCAGTTACAATTATTGCTTTATTACTATCTTGTGATTCTGATATGGCAATTCTGCAGTTATCTTCTTTCAATCACCTTATCATGCCTTGTTCTAAAAGGGCCCATAGCTTTTTACGTAGGGAAATTGGGGCTAACTTCCTAATAAAATAAAAGGAAGAGGTATGTCACTTTTAAAAGGCACTAATAAGATCTGTAATATTTTCTTTAGCACTATACTTTAGTTTCTTCCCATTTGAATTTTAGATAGTCCTCGACTGACGACCATTTGTTTAATGACTGAAGTTATAACAACATTAAAAAATATTATGACCAGTCCTTGCACTTAACAACTGTCACAGTGTCTCTGTAGTCACATGATTGTGATTTTGGGCACTTGGGAACAATTACACTGTCCTGGGATTATAGGATCACTATTTGTGACCTTCCCAGTCAGCTTCTGTCAAGCAATCTCAATGGGGAAGCTGGATTTGTTTAATGGCCAAGGCATAAAAGGCCATAAATCGGGCATGGTCATATGATGATTGCACTCCATTGCATTGCTTAGTGATGGAGGTTCTGGTCCCAATTACGGCCATAAGCTGAGGACTAACTATACTGCAATGTACTTTACATGGGGCTGCCCTTGAAAATCACTTGGAAGTTACAGGTGGTCCAAAATGCAGTAGTGTGCACAGTATCAGATGTTCCTAAGTTTGCCCCAATTACATTTTTATTGTGTGAGCTGCCCCGATTCCCAGGTTCTTTCCAGTGTAATTCAAGATACTGGTTATCACTAGTACAGGACCTGGTTATTTGTGAGTCTGCCTCTCCTTAAGAGTATCTCCTCATTCCACCAGATCGGATAGGTAGGCATACTCCAGATCCCTTCCCTGAAATCCTGCTACTTAGTGGGATCTCAGAAATGTGCCTTTTCTGTGGCTGTTCCTAATTTATGGAGCTCTTTCCCCCTGTTGATTCAACAAGTTTTTAGCCTTCTGGAAGGCCATCAAGTCTTGACCTTTTATTGAGGTGCTGGAATAGGGTAGACTGGAATAGAGAGAATGGAATGAGGGTAATTGGGGCTTGCTGTGGGGGCATCCTAAGGGGAGGATTAAGGCACCAGGTTTTAGTTTTTGTTTAACGATTTTACGAAATTATGATTATGTTTTATAGTTACTGGATTGTATTGCTACTGTGGGCTGACCAGAGGTTAAAATGTGTGGCCATACAAATCTTTTAAGTAAATAAATAAAATTTGGAGGGATAGTGTCAAGTGCAAAGAATCAGGACCTTTATAAGATTGCATCATAGAAGATGTATTTAAGCCTGCATACAAGAATTTGGTCAACTAAAGTTCAACACTAAATTGGTGTCAACGGAATTGAGGAGGGGCTGGGCTTGGAATGTTTGTGGGAACGTAAGGACTCTAAACTGAGGATGTGCTCAACTCTGCTCCCCCCCAGCTCTGGCTGCTGTTTTCCTACAGAAAGCATTCTTACACAATATTTGCAGATATAGGATAGAATTAAGATGCAGCTCTGAAATAATTTTATTTTATCCCAGATTTAAATGTTCATTGAAACACGTAGTTAAACACTTGTATTTCTATTATTCAGGTCCCTCTTTTAATACTTTTTTCTGCCCAGTTTCTGAAGCGAGTACAGGTAGACCTTTATTTATGACCACAATTGAGCCCAAAATTTCTGTTGCTAAGTGAGACATTTGTTAAGTGAGTTTTACGACCTTTCTTGCCCAATTGTTAAGTGAATCGCTGCAGTTGTTAATTTAGTAACATGGTTGTTAAGTGAATCTGGCTTCCCCATTGACTTTATCAGAAGGTCGCAAAAGGTGATCACATGACCGCAGGACACTGCAACCATCATAAATATGAACCAGTTGCCAGGCATCTGAATTTTGATCCTATGACCATGGGGATATTGCAACGGTCATAAGTGTGAAAAAAGTCATAACTCACTTTTTTCAGTGCCATTGTAACTTTGAACAGTTACTAAATGAACTGTTGTAAGTTGAGTATTACCTGTACATATTTTTGCATAAAGAGAAATTTTATGATTGCACGTGTTGTATTGTCCTGAATCATGCATTGCTTTGAGGGAGGATTGTTCCCATATCTCTAGTATCTTATTGACTTTTCTACTAATGATATAACAGTGGAAGCTGCTGGATAATAATTTGTTTCGTATTTGTGCAAATTTGAGTTCAGGTATGTTCATATATAATAGAAGTGTTTAGTAGCTTATAAGATAGAATTTAGCTGAGCTCACTTCTGCATGGCCTTTTGGACCCACTGAATCTTCAACAGGCAATCCACCAACTTTCCAGATTTGCTCTTAGAGGGTTGGAAGATAAGGGGAGAAAGAATCTATTCCTCTGGAAGTAGCAGTTTTAGCTAATGTAGTGGTATATGATATTCCTGGTGAATTCAGAGATTTCCAAAGGGTACTGTTGAATTATAATTTTCAGTTTTTAATATTAAAGAGAAAAAAACGTTAAGTACATGTGGAAAGGTGTGTGTGTGTGTGTGTGTGTGTGTGTGTGTAATATATTATTTGCTATGTGTTTTGCTATGTGCTATCTGGGCAATTGTCAACATTTCTGTATTTGGGTGAGGCTTAATAGTAGCCCAGCAACATGATGCTTGCTGAGGTGTTGCTGTAGTGTATGTTGCCACAATACATACAGACATTCTGCCCTGATTTACAAAGAACTACATGAGGAAAATGTAAGTGTCTATCCTATATTTTTATTCTAATACTGTGTTAAAAAGAAGAAAAAGCTCTTTTCCAGACAACAATTCTTAATCTTGGATCGAGAAAAATAGGTTTCTTAAAAAATATTGGTAATCAAAAATAGTGTCTGAATTAAGGATAATGCCTAAATTAAAAACTAGTCTTCTGAAATAAGGTAGTGCATATATAATTAAGATAGTTATTTCTTATCCGTTAAAAAGGTTTTCTTTTTTTTTAGGGAGCACCCATGTATCATGTGGACAGGTGGATTCAGGAGGATTCCAATCATGGTATTTCATGCTGAAGCTATTCTAACCAAGGACAGTTACATCCGCTTGATTGGGGGTAAATTTTGTTTTTCTCAAGTACCTAATCACCTAGAGTAGATAAAATAAAATTATTGAAAGACAAGATTTACTTGGCACACTGATAATCTTTTACAAAGAATTTTTTAAATACATTAAGCTAGAGTTTTCAAGTATTTTCAAATAACAACACAGGAAACAAATTACATTGTCTAAAATAAAAAAAAAACTGCTATGATTTTAAGATTTCTTTAAGAGGACACATTTTAATGAGTATTCTTTATATAACCACTGAAGGTTATAAGGCCTAAAAATACAGTAATGTACTTTGTCTAAGTGCTTGTAAGGATTAAGAATCTTTGTTTTGTATGTTATATTTACCTGAAATGAAGTTGACTTTGAATGTAAGATAACCAAAGGAAATACCAAACATCTGCACAGTGTTCAGTTTTTCAAACTTTTTAACCAATGGTTGCTCCCATGTGATCCATTTGTATACAGTCTGCATGCATGTATCTGCCACGTACCATAATTTAAAAGACACAGGGACTGGATACATCTTTAATAAAGTTGAATAATTTGTATATCTTTATCTACATTGAATGCATTCATGTGGATAGAGAACCCTGTCTCTCAGTGAAACATATAAATAAATGTACATACAAAGGGAAGGCTAATAGATTGCTCTGTTGTACAGCTCTTATACAGAATAGAATAAATGAAAAAATGTTCTGATAAAATTTCTCCCTTTTTGCAACTGGTAAAATAGATTATAATTTGATTTATATAATAATTCTGTATTCTGTTCCCAGAGCGCTATCACTTGTCTTTTAAAATTGTGAGAACGGATAGTCGCTTGGTGCGCAGCATTCTGTCAGCTCATGGATTTCGGGAGGTATGTTTATTAATTTTTGTGAATTTCATGGCCCTAAAAAATTAAATCAGCACTGCTTTTACATCCAAAAGATCACTATGGATCCAGAGTAAACTGAAGCCAATCAAAAAAAGCAAAAGGTCTCTTCTCCTTTAATTTGATGTCTTGTCTAGCATTTGTAATGCTACAAATGATATTTCTTTCTCTTGTATGATGTGTTTGAGAGAGATTTTGCTTGAGGTTCTTGGTGCGCTTATAGTAGTCCCGAAGAAGCTCAATTTGTAGAAATGACTGTACGTATTTTTATTTTGCAAAAAGTATGTGCAGTCTGTCATAAATGTAGAATAAATGGCAAACTTAAGATCAACATGTAACAACTGTAAATTTTCATAAGTGGACAGCATTTTTTCTGGATTAGAATTCAGATTGTCCCTACTTTTTAATAATCATTTATTTTACTACAGTTATTTCAAACCGATGGCATTCTTCTGGTTGATGATGTTTTTCTGATAGCGCTAACATTTTAATAATTTCCTTTCCTCTGGGTGGAAGACCCTTCAGAGCCCATTGTGAATAGGGAAAGGAAGTTGACAAGTCCTATTGCATGAGTGAAATAGTTCTCTCTTAACTTTGAATGCTGTCCAAGGTATAGATTCTGAGATAATAAAATGTTATTCAGCTGGTTAGCTATTAAAATGTTCAACCATGTCTTTTTCCAGGTGCATCCCAGCAGCAATGAATATAATCTTATGTGGACAGGATCACATTTAAAACCCTACGTTCTGCGAACTCTCACAGATATTCAAAAAGTGAATCACTTTCCCAGGTAAGAAGTGGAGTCTTATGATAATGCTATGACACAGAACAGAGATGAATGACCTGCAGCCCTAGAATCACATGTAGCTTTCTTCCAGACATTTGCTGCTAAAAGAGAATTGTCAGTATCAAAGAAAAGATTATTACGAACATGGGGAAGAATTATATTCATTTTATTTAAATACATTAAAGCAGGGTTTCCCCAACATTTCCATGTTGGAGGCCTGGAGGGGAGAGGGGGAAAGAGGGAATGGTTTTGTGTGAGGGGCAGGTGCGTGCGCATGCAACCACCTGTTGCTTGTGCGAGTGGGGCTGAGAGCACCCTTGATGCTTGCGTGTTGCAAATAGGTCCCAGACCAATAGCGGGCCATGGCCCACAGGTCGGGGACCCCTGCATTAAAGTAAATTTAAGTTTTGTTCCTGCCTGACTCATTCTGTACAAAGTGATGCTCTGACAAAAGTTGCAGATCATTAATATTTCCCTTTCTTCCAAGTGCCCAGCTTTATTCTAAAGGTTCAGTAAAAATACAGATAAAGTGTTAAATTAAAAACAAAAAAGCTTTTATCAAGGCCTTTGCTTTTGCTAATATTTCTGATTGCTAAAAATTAGTAAATCTTGATGGCATCTTTTACTGTTTGGGATATAAAAGTGTGTGGGTAAATGAAGATGTGGGTGTGACCAGAGCAAAACAAAATTAACAAATATATTCCCTCAATCCTTTTGTCTATTACTATTATCTAGTGCCAGTGCTATTTAAATTTACCTTTAATTTAGCCGGTGGAAATTGGTAGTAGAGGTTACTATAAAAAATCTTGTGATACTGCAAGTTGTGTTCCCTTGCCAAACAATTCTACAAATTTGGCATATTCATGTCCTTGGTTAGATTACGTGTGAATGGGTATACTGTATGTGAACAGGCAAAGTGTGAGTGTGGGATAATGAATATTTTAAGAGTAATAGAATGCAGCTGTCCACATTGAATCCAAGATTATATTGGAAAGACTGTAATATTTGACTGAAAAAAGATTGTCCATTTCTATTTAGAGGTGACTTCAATTAGGGACAGAAGAGTGGCATGTTGTACATATGCTTTTAGTAGCAAAATGTTTACAATGTCATGTTAAGGCATTACATGTTTCACAAAGCTTGTGAATGAAATCACACAGTAAAACTTTGCCTTAAAGCGCCATTTTTGGAAGAAGTATCAAATTAAATCCCAAATTCTGTGAAATCTCAAATTATTGAGGTAATGGTTTACATTTACATAATTACATAATCAATGCTTCAAAGTAATTGTATCAAGTTATATCATTTGCATAATGTTAAATTGTTGCAAATTACTTTAAATTGCCCAGAATGCTTTAGAAACAATAGACTTTGCCTGTTTTAGGAGGTGAAATCTGAAGTAAAATTTGGTCTGTTGCATCCAAAGTGTGCTGAATGGAAGTAAAAGTTTAATTGTAATGGTGAATTCTTAAAAATCCTCATAAACAAGGTGACACCAACAAATTATATCTCCATGGCTTTAGGTCATATGAATTAACTCGGAAGGATAGACTATACAAGAACATTAGTCGAATGCAACAGATTTATGGATTCAAGACCTTCCATATTTTGCCTCAGACCTTCATCCTTCCAGCTGAATATCAGGAGTTTTCCAGTAAGTCTATGACCTAGATTACCAGTTCACAAGTAAAGCTAGAACTGAATAGGAAATTTTCATTCCATAATGTTTCTATACTTTAACCTAATATATTCCTGGAATTTTTTTTTTTCTCTTTTGTAGTTGGAGTTTTTTTATTGGAGAAAAGCAGGAATGAAACAGTTCTCTAGGTTTAATTACTGCATGTACCCAAAAAGAAGATCAATTATGCCCTGTCATAAATAACTGGGGGTTATCTGATATTTGTCAAATTGAATCTTCGCGAGAGGAAGGATTATTGAAAGAAGTCTAGAGTCCATAAATAGTCCTTTTATAATGGACACAGTGTTCTAGAGTGCTCCTTGTCAATGATTTTTTTTAATTTGACAAAAATTAAAAAATAAAATAAAAATAAATAAAAAATAAAACTAATAATTAAATAATAAATTAAAAAGGAAAAAACCCTCAAAGGACAGACTCAATGTACCACTACTTCTTTTTCTGCCATCAGTTTTCTATGTTTCTGTGTTTCAAAACAAGGGTTGGATTAGCAGGTTTTTGCTCTTCTCAAACCAGAATAGTCAGTGGCAGGATTTCCTAGTAACAGAATCAGAACTGAAATCCTCAACATTTTTACATGAGAATAAAAATGGTCAAACTCAGTGAAACTTACCATAGTATAAATGGATAAAAATTAATACTAGCTGAGCCTAAGAAAAATGCTCATTGAGCTTCTTAGTGTTTCCTTACTGCTTCTTTTTCTTTATAAAATATCTTACTTTCAAGTAAATATGGTATTTGACACGTACAGAAATGTGTTAGGGTCCGAAACATTGATATCTTGAAATACAAACTGTGTACCTGTTGCAAAGGGTGCATGCTAGAGTTTTGTATCATCTTCAGATTTCATAATTGTTTATATGTGTCTGTGTCTATGACCAAATTCTGAATATTAGAATAGAATAGAATAAAGCTGGAAGGGACCTTGGAAGTCTTCTAGTCCAGCCTCCTGCTCAAGCAGGAGAACCTATACCATCTTAGACAAGTGACTGTCTAGCCTCTTCTTAAAAATCTCTAGTGATGGAGCACCCATGATTTTTGGAGGCAAGCTGTTCCACTGGTTAATTGTCCTTACTGTCAGGAAGTTTCTCCTTGATTCCAGGTTGCTTCTCTCTTTGATCGGTTTCCAACCATTGTTTCTTGGAATATATAATTTTTTTAAAGAAGGAACATCACTGTTTCAGCTATTGATAATGGTTGATTGGTAAAAAAAGGTTGAGTGATATATACTAATAAACTATACTGAAAATCTCAAGTATTACTGACCAAAGCTATTATTGTTTGATGACATTTTTGTAGAAAATTTAATACTGAAGTATGTATTTGTCCTTTTTTTTCTTTCTCAACTAGTTTCCTATTCAAAGGACAGGGGACCTTGGATAGTAAAACCAGTGGCTTCTTCTAGGGGACGGGGTGTCTATTTGATCAATAATGTAAGCATTAAAAAATCTAACAACTTCAGAATAGTGCTAGTTTGATGACTTACCAGCCTCCATATTCTCTATATTTTCTCTGCCAAAATATGCTAAACTACTAGCAGTAGAAACTAATGTGCAGTTTTGAATCAATTTACTGTTTTGTCATTGCTTAAATCTACAGTAAAAATATAGTCTGGAAAAGACGAAATGACTGGCTACTCCCATTTTTACTGGAAATTTAAGCCTGCTTAACTCTGAATAAGTGTTTCTAACCATAGTTTTCTGAATAAAGCATAATGATCCTATTCATATTTAATGTTAAGTCACAATAGGCGATTTTGTATATTACACTAAGCTAAAAGCAAATAACTCATATTATGGCTTTATGTGATGTGGGAACCAGACCATTTCACTTTTACATTCCAAAGAAGTCAGTATATAAAATAGAAGCTGAAAATGAGGCCAGCATGCGAATATTTTTAATGTATAGGTGTATTATATCAGAAATTCATGAAAACATACTCTGGGAAGTATTCAGTGAGTAAGAGAAAAACTTTTAAGAAAAAGTTAAAGTTATGCTGAGATGGTTGCATTCACATATAAAGTTTGTGCAGCCTCACTTTGTGGATTGATGACTAAAGATACTTTGGAAGTTATATATCTTATAAATGGTATGGAATAAGCAGCTGGTTTCTTTAATTATTCTGATAAGGTAGTATTTTGCAAAATAAATTCAACTACATAAGAACATTGTGGTGGATTTAGGTAAATAATATATTAAAGTAACTATAACTCCAGTAAGACTCTTTCACACAACTAAAAAGAAAAAAAAAAGAGTTACATTGTGTATCTATCCTAAAGCTAGTCATATAGGTGTTCTTGGAATGGGTATAACACAAAACCTGATTGTGAGTCATTACTTTCAGATAGTGAAAATTTTCATCTTCCCTCTCCCTCCCATCTCATCTAGAAGGGGTCAGTTTGCCTTGTCTGTTCTCAGCCTGGCTGTTTCCCATGGAATTAAAGAACTGCTGGCCAAGTGAATGAAGCAAATCTTTCCAAAGCTGGACAAGATCTGCTTCAAGAAAAAGTAATATGTGAACAAAAGGTCAGAACCTGGAAAAAGCTCTCAAACCATTTTCCATCAAGGATTGCTAAATTCACAAATATGTCATATTTGTTCCATGTAGGGAGCACGCTCAAACATTCTTAAGGGATGCTTACTTAATTTTCTGTAATTAGGGAATGTTTTGTGTATGTATGTCATACTTGCTAAAAAACAAACTTCTCTAACTACAGTTAACTTGACCTATTGTTGCACATGATTCTTGGAATGATGGCTGCTGCAATAGAAAATAATACTTGATCCAACTTTTTCTTATTGCCATTAGAACCACATATATATATTTCACAAAGTTAGCTGAATGACTTTGGGCCAGTCGCACACACATAGCCCTAGGAAGAAGATAATGGCAAAAGACTTCTGAAATCTTGTCAACAGTACTGCATGGATTAGTTCAGGCAATTGCCAGGAGTTAACACTGACTCAAAGGTGAAGGAAGGAAGGAAGGAAGGAAGGAAGGAAGGAAGGAAGGAAGGAAGGAAGGAAGGAAGGAAGGAAGGAAGGAAGGAAGGAAGCTGTTGTTCTAAGATGTTTTTCATATATAATCTGAAGTTTATGCATATTATACGTGCAACTTCTCTAGAATATATTACATTAATTTGGATCCATATCAGTCTATGTATGATGAGGCTAGTCAAAACTGTTTTGCCAGTGAAGAATGGGCCCATCCTTTTCGTCTATATTATAAGGCTGTGCATGATATCTTGGATGTTTCTGCACTTTAAGAACAATACTGCAATTCCCCTGTTTGGTGTAGAAAATATTTTTTTTTTAAAAAAAGAAAATATTAGGATTCACCATGAAGTTTATTAACCCAATCAATATTCATTGAAAGGTAATGGACAAAGTAACTTAGTGAAATCAGCATTCAACTTTTCAGTTCTTCATTCCATTGTTCTGTCTATCTCATTCTGTAGCCAAATCAAATTTCCCTTGAGGAAAACATCCTGGTTTCCCGTTACATCAACAACCCACTTCTAATAGATGGTGAGTTAATATTAAAATTTAGGCTTTTTTTCCCCCCAGAAATTTGAAGATAATTGAGAGTGAATTAATGAACCATAAGAAAGCAGTTGTGTTTTCTATTTTGTTATTGTAGTAAATGCTGTATAATTGTTATCCAAGCTCAGGAAATATTTCTATTCACTGATACTTGACCGTTAGATGGTCCTTGAAAATATCTAATTCTATACTCTGTCCTTAAGTAGATTCAACGTTCTGAATAATTTCTAGCAACTAATTATGGTTGGGCCTTTTTTTAGACTTCAAATTTGATGTGCGGCTTTATGTTTTGGTGACATCCTATGATCCTCTTGTCATCTATCTCTATGAGGAAGGTTTGGCTCGGTAAGTCTTGATTTTGCGTCTTATGGTATATAAGCTGAATGCCTTACCATGTGAATTTGCGGTCATAAGCTTTCTTTTTATGTATACATTAGGAACAGTAAGAGACTGGTTGATCTTATAGTTCTTCTGAACTTTTGAAAATTATGAAGAATAACTTCTAAATAAGTTAGTCCCTCTTACTTTAAGTTATTAAGTTTTCTACCTTCATCTCAGAGAATTTAACTGTTTAAATGCTGAGCTACTGGTCTTCAAGTAGTGGTGGAGAAATTTTGAATATATGTAATAATATATGAAATATTTTCCTGCCCTTGGTTTCTGGTAACAGTAGCAAATTTTAAAGACTCTTTGCTTGTTGACATTTTTGCATTTCCTAAATTTTATAGAATTATAAAAGTAAGAATTGGAAGGGATCCTGGAGAATAAGTGGTCTCTATTTTCACATCTTAGACAAATGGATGTCTAGCTTCTGTTTAAGCATCTCTATTCCAAGGCAGTCTACTCCATTGTTAGACAACTCTTAAAATAAAGAATGTTTTCCTGATCAAAATTTGCCTCCTTGTCACTTAGAACAATTGATTCTTGTCATATAGAACCCACTCTAACAGTTTTGTCCCATCTTCTACATGATACCCTTTTAGGTATCAAGATAGCCTTTTAGCTTTCATGTCTTCCTGCCACCTTTTATCCTAGCTAAACATTTGCAGTACTTTCAGCTGTTCTTCATAAGTTGTTCTTTTTGGAATCCTTATCTTCTTGATTACTGTTTTCTGGACATACTTCTTTTCTAAAATGGACCCCTTCAATCAAGACACAATGTTCTGGACGTGGTCTGTGCAGTGCAGAATAGAGGATAATGATGACTTCTCTTGATCTTGATATTATACTTGTATAGCAGCATATTTGAATATTCAGTTTCTAATAGTCCAAAATGTCTGTAATCTTTTAAAATGTAGTGCTGTCAAGGATGATTTCCCTCCTCTTTTCTTACCATCCTGTCTATTTTTCTTTTTTTTTTTTTTTATTGAAATTTTTCAAAATTTTACAAATAAACATCCCCCCCCTCCCAAACCACCCCACCCTCCCCCCCCGACTTCCCAGAACTGAATATAGGATTATTTAACAAATTTTAAAAAATAACGTTTACAATTTATAAGATAATTAATAAAAATAATAAAGATCATAATAATAATATATATAATAATATATATAATAATAATATGCATAACATAAGCTTTAAAATGAATAATATATACTAAGAAAAAGAGAAAAAAAAAGGAAAAAGAAAAGAGAGAGAGAGAAAAAAAAATAGTCGAAAAATAGAACATATATATATAAAAAAATATATAAGTAATAATACGTAAAGAAAAAAGGAAGAAAGAAAGAAGGAAAAAACAATCATTACAAGTTATAAAAAAGCTAAATGATATTTTTCCATATCCAAATTATATTGTATGAAATTTATCCATTTTTCCCATACTGCAAAGAATTTCTCTTGAGATTGCTCCTTTAAAAAAGCCGAAATCTTTGCCATTTCTGCCAGATACGAAACTTTGTGAAACCACTCTTGCAAAGTAGGCAAGGATTCCTTCTTCCAATATTGCCCTATTAACAGCCTAGCGGCTGTAATCAAATTTAACATCAATATAACCTCCTTAGCATCACAATCAGTAACAATACCTAGTAAAAATAATTGCGGAGTAAATTTTACCCTCCGTTTAAAAATTCTTTGGATATTCCACCATATCTTAATCCAAAAAGCTTTTATATGCTTACACGTCCACCAAGTATGATAATAGGTAGCATCCAAATGTCCACATCTCCAGCATTTCGGCTGCAGATTAGGGTACATAATGGACATTTTCTTTGGATCAAGGTGCCATCTATAAAACATCTTATAAAAATTCTCTCTTAAATTTTGCGCTTGTGTGAATTTAACATTTCTTATCCAAATAAGTTCCCAGTATCCATTGAAATCGTTTCACCAATATTCTGTGCCCATTTAATCATACAATCTTTAACTAATTCAGGTTCTGAGTCCAATTCCACTAAAACCCCATAAACTCTCTTAATATGGGTTGGCCTTTGATCTCTTACTTGTTTTAAAAGAGCTTCATCTTCTCTAAGCCAGCCCATTTTACAATCCATCTTCCATCTGTCCACTATTTGTCTGTATTGGAACCATGAATAAGTTAAATTTTCATGCGTTAATTCTTCCAAAGATTTTAACTGCCAATCTTGGCCATCCCATCTAAGTAACTGTGCATAAGAGACCATATCCATATTAACCCCTTTCCTTATGCCTTCTATGGCATGCCGAGGTATAGCCCATAATGGTATTTTGAAGTCACTTTTATAATACTTTCTCCACACTCTAAGCAAAGAGATTCTTATAATATGAGACTTGAAAACCCAATCCACTTTTTTATTAAATATTAAATAGGCATGCCATCCAAAAAGTAAGTCCCAACCTTCCAAATGAAGTATTTCTATATTTGTTAAATTCACCCAGTCGCTGATCAATGTTAATACTACAGCATCATAATACAATTTCATATTTGGTACCTTGAGTCCACCTCTCTCACGAAAATCTTGCATTATTTTAAGTTTCACCCTTGGTTTTTTCCCTGCCCAAACAAATTTATTAATACCTTTTTGCCATTCATCTAAATTACGTTCATTCTTTAAAATAGGTAACATTTGAAACAAAAAAATAAACTTTGGCAGGACATTCATTTTGATAACTGCAATTCTACCCATAAGGGATAACTGTAAATTGTTCCAGTTTTTTAAATCCTTCTGTACCTCCATCCACAGCTTTTCATAATTATTTTTATACAGTTTTGCATTAGAAGCAGATAATGTGACCCCCAAATATTTTACCTTATCAACAATTTCAAAATCTGTTAAGTTAACTAAAACCTGTTTATCACCATTAGTCATATTTTTAGCTAATATTTTGGTCTTATTATTATTAATTTTAAAACCAGAAACACATCCATATTGTTGAATCAATTGTAATAATTTTACCACCGAACTGGTAGGTTGAGACAAAGTAACAACCAAGTCATCTGCGAAGGCTCTTAATTTATATTCTTTTTTATTAATTTCTATTCCTTTTATTTCTTGAGACTCCCGAATTTTAATCAACAAAATTTCCAATGTTAAAACAAACAATAACGGAGATAACGGGCATCCCTGTCTTGTTCCTTTTTCTATTACAAAAGCCTCTGACAAACCCCCATTTACAATAAGTTGAGCAGTCTGTTTTTGATATATATTAGATAATACTTGTAATATATTTTGTCCAAAATTCATCTCCTTAATTAAACATAACATAAACTGCCAATTCACTTGGTCAAAGGCTTTTTCAGCATCCAAAAATATCAGGCCTGCAGAGACTTGGTTATTCTTTTCTAGATACTCTAATAAGTTAATAATTTGTCTAACATTATTTTTCATATACCTTCCAGTTATAAAACCCGATTGATCCTTATGTATCAACTTCTGCAAGATCCCCATAAACCTATTAGCTAAAATTTTTGCAAAAATTTTATAATCCACGTTTAAAAGAGATATAGGCCTATAATTTTTAGGCAATGTAAGATCTTGATTATCTTTTGGAATCAATGATATAAATGCATTACGCCAAGATGGAGGGATCTCTAAACCCTGTAATAAATTATTAAACAATTCACACAATGGTTGAGTCATCTCTTCTACTAAAGTTTTGTAATAGATAGATGTCAACCCATCCGTACCCGGCGCTTTGCCCAATTTCAATTGTTTAATAACTGTAACAATTTCTTCTTTAGTAATTAAGCCATTAATCTCTTTTTCCTGATCTTCTGTTAATTTAGGAAAGTTAACTTTACCTAAATAATTGTTTATATCTGTAGTTTGAATATTGGCACTCTTGTATAATTTTTGATAGTATTCTAAAAAGGATTTCTTAATCAATTCTTTCTGATAAAACAATTTACCATTATAATTTATTTTATCTATATTCCTCTGTTTCTGTTTCTTTCTTAACTGATAAGCCAGCCATCTCCCTGGTTTATTAGCATTACAAAATATATGTTGTTTCATAAATAATAAATTGGTTGCAGCTTGATCAGCCATCAACATGTTAAATTGTGTTTTTAACAGTTTTAAAGCTCCTTTCACCTTTTCATCTGAAGGATTTGAAATTAAAAGTTTCTCTTTTAATTTAATCTCTTCTAAGTCTTTACGTTTCTGAGTCTGTTTCTGTCTATGCAGGTTATTCATTTTTATCAAAATACCACGCATAAAAGCTTTACTTGCATCCCACACCATTGACATTGATGTTCCCTTATTCATATTTAAAGCAAAATATACCTTTAAACATTCCTTTAATTTATGAACATTTTTTTCTTGTTTGAATAAATTCTCATTCACCCTCCAGGATCTCCTGTCTTCTTTCTCAGCAAACAGTTCCATCCATACTGGACTATGGTCAGACAATATCCTAGGAAAAATTTTTACATTCTTCACCCTGTTGTATAAGTCTGTTGTAATCAAAAAGAAATCAATTCTTGAAAAAGATTGGTGTCTATCTGAGAAGAAGGTAAAATCCCTTTCTTCTAGGTTGCGTTCACGCCAATAGTCCCTCAATTCCCAATCTTCTTTCATGTCAAAAAAGGCTTTAGGTAGTTTAGCCTGTTTAAAAAAGGTAGAAGAGCCTTTTTTGTCCTTTTGTATGTCTAAGACACCATTCCAGTCTCCCATTAAAATCACAGATCTATAGTCTAACAAAGTTATTTTCTGATGTAGCAACCTATAGAATTGCTCCTGTTGCTGGTTTGGTGCATACAACCCCACAATAAGAATTTTCTTGCCATATAAACCAAGTTCAAGCATAACATATCTTCCATGAGGATCTGATTCTAACAGGGTAGCAGATAAGTTCTGTTTAACATAAATTACCACACCCCCTTTTTTCCCAGGGGCGGGAGATACAAAATGAGATCCCAAACGAGGAT